CAAAAGTTAATCAGCGCCTAGAGCAGTCGAGTGATTTCTCTTTTTCTTTTGTTCTTTGATTTACATCAATGACAGACTTCAGCAGGTTTTACTTTAAAAGCAGCGCTGCCTCTTTAAAACCTGATGCACATGACACGGATCTGACACATATCTTCTCCAAACTCTTTACGGTCATTTAAGTCTTTATAACTCATTTAAGACTACGTTTACGAGGTTACTCGCCAAAACCGCATATTTTGACATAATTGTGTTTTCGTCCGCTGAAGCGCTACTGGTGCGCTGTCTAAAGCAGCTCAGTGTCTGTGTACAGCCGAACGAGCAACTTTTTAAACTATAGCCTACTTCACTGCACCGTTTCTGCGGCGTAACCCCAGGTATGTGTTGCCACATTCTCGGGATATGAAGAACAAAGAAGGGAAAAGTTAATCTTCCGAAATGAAGCAGCAATATCTTCTCAGGTAAAAGTTATTAGAACCGTGTCTAGGGGCAAGCTGGCCATCACTCTGCTCTGACTTTATCAGCCCGTATGTATGTGTCGCTTATGACAGAACAGCTAACCAATCACGATGATCTTGTCTTCGGAAAAGATTATTTTATTCGCTTACGTCAGAAACAGCGAATCTCTTTAAAAACGGGCTGTTGTTCCCACTACATTGCATTGTTATATTTCGTAAAAGTTTTTCCTGCCAACTGGCGACTGACACTGTTTCATATACTCGCCAACGCTGATTTTTACTCGCATTTGGCGCTTGGCGAGTGTTATTTTAGGCCCTGAATAAAAGTATTAATTTCTTTTAAAAAAAATCTTACTTACCTCAAATTTTGAACGGTAGTGTATATAAAATTGTGGCCCCACTTTATATTAAGTGGCCTTTACTACTATGTACTTACATCAAAAATTAAGTACAATGTACTTATTGTGTTCATATTGTATTGCAAAACACTTTTGCTGCTATTAAGGTGGGATATGGGAAAATTGTTAATCTAATTACAAATTGACTATTGTCTCCAATATTGTTGAGCTGTGTACTTTCACTTAGAATTACTACAGTGTGGCACTGAATGACGTGCTTGATCAGCTTAAATATGCCAGGAAGAAACACACACACACAAGACTGCTTGAAGCAGAGAGAATAGACAGATGTCACTTTAAAATAAACCTTAATGTTTTAACAGTCACGATAAATAAGTAATGGATGTGTGGATGACATCACTTCTCTCTGTCTCTCTCTGACTGTCTGTGTCCTTCATTGTCTTTGACCTTCTGGTGAATGCTACTCATAAACCACCGTACTTTCCCTGACAAATTCAGCCCAATGCTGCGGTAGATGAGGATGTTTTCAGACAAACCAAACTCCAGTTAGAATCTGAAGTATATACATATGTGCATGCACAAGTACAGATTTTTGCAGAGAAACAACGTCATCAAGCCTCCAACCTGTCATATAGACACCACTGTTCAATAAATTCCCCAAGAGTACAACAGTACAATATCAGTTAACCAAAGCAAAAAAACAACACTGACTTTAAGTTGAGCATTTAAATGTTTTTGTCTTTCTGAGTGTGTGAATTCAAACCAGGGTTAAAGGCTCACCCATATGTTTTCCGTTCATGTGGTAGTAGAAGGAGACACAGTAGGGGGTTCTGGTGGTCCCCGTTGGTCCTCGGGCTGCCGTAACATTATACAATGGAGAGAGGAGACGAGCTCTATCCCCATCCTGGCGCGGCCGCGACGTCTCAATGTACATGTAGTAACCTTTATTGCAGAAGGAAAGTACAAAACGCTTGTGTTACCACAGGGTTTCACAAAATAAATAATTATACACACAGAAATTTTTTTTTAAATTAAAATTAAAAAGAAATAATAATAAAAGAAAAAAAAATCTGCTTTCTAAATATTCTAAAGAAATAAAATTAGATTTGGTTTTGTTTTTGTTGTAATACAAGTGTATCTTTCTATGGAGTTTCTCAACTGGAAAAATTCTCTAAAGAATTAAAGGTAAAGGTGCTTTGGAATAATTTTTAGTTTGAAAAAGTGCTATAAAAATAAATTTAAATGACAAAGAAAAAGTTCTCTTTAGATTTATAAATCTATAATTACGTCAATAGTGGGCAGAAAAAAAGATGTCCACTTTGGTGTGTTTTTACCTTCTTTTGTCCCACTCCTGTCCGTATCCGGCCCTGTATTAACCGACCGTTTGGGGTTCTGTGTGAGATGGTTCTGTCTGGTCCAGTCAAACACATCTCTGCGGTCTTGAGTGAACCCACATATCCTAATGTCCTCAAACCCACACACGTGATCTGCACACAAAAACATGAGAGGGAATCGAGATATACCTTGCCGTTTTTTTTTTGTTGTTTTTTTTTTTTTTTTGGCACATGCATATAGTAATTATAAGTTCGAAACATACTCTACACAAGCATATGAATGCAAGAATATGTTACAAAAGATAAGAAGAAATATTTCAGGTGAAAAAGATGTGTCTTTAGACGTTTTTTTGAAAATGGCTAAAGACTCAGCTGCTCTAATTGAGATAGGCAGGTCATTCCACCAGCTGGGAACAGTCTAGGAAAAGGTCCGTGAGAGTGATTTTGTGCCTCTTTGGGATGGCACCACAAGGCGTCATTCCCTTGCAGAACTAGCGAGTTTGGGTATATTGTTGCAGCACCAGTGGTTGTCTTGTAGGCAGACATCAGTGCCTTGAATTTGATGCAAGCGGCTATTGGCAGCCAGTGCAAAATGATGAAAAGAGGTGTGACGTGGGCTTTCTTCGGCTCGTTGAAGACCACTCTCGCTGCTGCATTCTGGATCAGTTGCAGAGGCTTGATAGTACATGCCGGAAAGCCCGCCAAGAAAGCATTACAATAGTCCAGTCTGGAGAGAACAAGAGCTTGGACAAGGAGTTGTGCGGCCTGCTCTGATAGGAAGGGTCTCATCTTCCTAAAGTTGTATAAGGCAAATCTGCAGGACCGGGCCATTGTAGCAATATGGTCTGTCAAGCTTAACTGTTCATCAATCACAACTCCAAGGTTCATTGCTGTCCTGGAAGGAGTTATGATTGATGAACCTAGCTGTATAGAGAAGTTGTAATGAAGTGCTGGGTTGGCTGAGACCACGAGCAGTTCTGTATTAGCAACGTTGAGTTGAAGGTGATGGTCCTTCATCCAGCCAGAAATATCTGTCAAACAGGCTGCAATGCGAATAGCTACCGTCGGATCATCAGGTTGGAATGAGAAGTAGAGTTGAAAAGCCATGATTCTGAATTACAGATCCTAATGATGACATGTAGATGGAGAAGAGAAGTGGTCCAAGCACTGAGCCTTGAGGAACCCCAGTAGCAAGACGTTGTGATTTATGGTGCTTTTCCACTGCATGGTACGGCATGGCACGCTTTTGGGGGGTTTTCCACTGTGTACAGTACCTGGTACCTGGTGCTTTTTTCAGTACCACCTCGGCTGAGGTTCCAAGCGAGCCGTACCGTTAACAAAATGTGACGTGTAAACCCTGCTGATCACTGATTTGCCGGAGAGAATCGCCACTGCCTTGAACTTTGCATTGAACTTGCGACACGAGACACTAGACCCGCTAGATTAAATCAGCACAGCCAGCGAGGATCGAATGCAACTTTTTTTGAACGAACGCAACAGTTTCAAATAAGAGCACATTTTTTAAACAACAAAATAATGGCTGTTTCGTGGTCTGTTGAGGAAGTACAGACATTCCTCTCGTTGATCGCCGAGGAGCGGATCAAGCAAGAGCTTGATGGGACGACGCAGAATGAAAAAGTTTTTCAGGAGGTCACGGCAGTAGAGGTGGCGCAACATGTCTATAATCCCACCCACTCTAAAGCGGTACTAAACTGCAGTGGAAATGCAAACTGAGCCGAACCGTACCATGCAGTGGAGAACAGTGTTGGGAGTAACGCATTACAAAAGTAATAATATTACAGTAGTATATTACTTTGCCTAGCCGTACCATGCAGTGGAAAAGCGCCATTAGAAACCTCACTCCTCCAAGACACCCTGAAGGATCTACTTGAGAGGTAAGACTTGAACCACTGGAGTGCGGTTCCTGAGATGCCCATCTTCATGAGGGTGGACAAGAGGATCTTGTGGTTAACTGTCAAAAGCAGCAGACAAATCCAGCAAGATGAGTACTGAGGATTTGGAAGCTGCTCTTGCCAGTCTCAGGGATTCAGTAACTGAGAGCAGGACAGTCTCAGTTTTTCGACAGAATTTTCAGACTTTTATGTTTTCACTGTTACATGGTAGGAGGTGCTATTACACATCTTCTGAAAGAGTCCTGAACGTCTGGTTCAAAAGAAGGCGAAGAAGAAGCAGAAACAAGCGATCACATGCCGTATGTAAGCAGATGCATATGTAAAATAACGTGATCATCAAGCATTAAACAGCATAAAAATCAAAACTGTCTAACATTACCGAATGAGATGTCATGTTTTTTTGTTTTTTTAAAGCAGGGGCTCTGTTCTTTCTTTTGACATATTGCATGTTCAGATATTCATACAATAAAATATTCTTTGGGCCATGAAAATTTGTACCGTGCCGAGCCTAGCCGTACCATGCAGTGGAAAAGCGCCATTAGAAACCTCACTCCTCCAAGACACCCTGAAGGATCTACTTGAGAGGTAAGACTTGAACCACTGGAGTGCGGTTCCTGAGATGCCCATCTTCATGAGGGTGGACAAGAGGATCTTGTGGTTAACTGTCAAAAGCAGCAGACAAATCCAGCAAGATGAGTACTGAGGATTTGGAAGCTGCTCTTGCCAGTCTCAGGGATTTAAAAAGCATTTACTTATACTTTCATTTACTTAAATATATCTTACCAAAGATTTTAATAAAAAATTGTAATTTTAAATTTTAAATTTATTAATAGTAATAATAATAGCCGTAAACAATATTTATTTACATATATTTAACTGAACACTTTAATATAAATAAACTATATATACATATACATAAAATAAAATTAATAAAAACCACACACATTGTTTACTCAGCCAATCAAATTAGAGGACTGGAGCAATTTTGTGTATACCGCTTTGACATCACAGAAGAAGGGTTTCATGTCTTCCAGCAATCCATTTATTCTGGAGGTTGGCCATTTTTTGGTCTGGTTAGCGTAAATGCTGAGATTGGGAGTTGAAGATTGAAAGACTATCCAATGGGATTAGATTCTATCAGCCGTTTCTGAGATCTAGACTCAGCTCTGGTGCTGAAACCGCTGGCCTGTTCCTGCTGTTCTGTAGCCATCAGCAAACTTAACACATGATGGCTGCCACACACTTGACATCTCAATTTAACATAATCCCGAAAGCGAAACCTCACATTTGAAATGCATGACCTATGTTGATGGGAATCATGAGGATTTTAACAATTCTGGCTCTGATTCCCATTCCACAACTAGCCCAGCTATGCTTTGCGCTTGCCCATATAAAATCAAAAATCTAAATTCATCAAAAATGTTATACTTCCTACCTGAAAGAACATAAAATAATGCATTTGAACTTTAAGATAAAAATAAATAGATGCGAGTAGCCAACTGCCAACTGAGATCTTGCATACTGTAATTCTTAAATGTCTGGTATAAGTGGAAGGTGACTTACGCTCTGAGTACTGGATGGTGCGCGTGACTGTGTTTCCAGTGCCGTAGCTGGTTATGGGAGTGAGGCTGACCTCATACGACAGGGGAATACGCAAGTCCGTCAGCGTGTAGGACATGAGCACACCTTTCACTGGCTCTTTAGTGGTGATCTGTTTGGACAAAACTGTCTGTCGGTTCTGCAAACACACAAGAGAAAAAGAGTTTAAGGGTAATCATGCTATGATCATGGTAAAATAAGGTCTGAAATTATTACCATCTTCAACATATGAAATCATATACACTACTGTTCAAAAGTTTGGGGTCGGTAAGATTTTCTTTTCTTTTCTGAAAGTCTCTTATGCTCACGATGGCTGCATATGATCAAAATAAAGTAAAACAGTAATACTGTAAAATATTATTGCAATTTAAATATAATAAATATTCTTGCAATTTACATCATTCTAATATGCTGATTTGCTGCTCAAGAAACATTTATTTTTATTATCAATTTTGAAAACAGCTCAATGAACTGTTGTAAATTCAATGAAAGTTCAATGATCAGCATTTATTTGTAAAATTATAAATGTCTTTACTGTCACTTTTGAATTTAATGCATCCTTGCCTTGAATAAAAAAAAAATCTGCTTTTAAAAAGATATTCATACAATAAAATATTCTTTGGGCCATGAAAATTTTGTGAAAATGATCAAAAATGCTGGTGGTGGCTGGCAACTTTATAAAAAAAATAATAATAATAAATAAATAAAAAACGCTTGTGGGGAAAGAGTTAAAAGGTAACAAGAGATGTCTTGTAGTAGGAGTGAGGACTATAGGAAAACCAAAATCTAACAAGCGGCCATTATTTAAAATTGCATATCTCTAAGGTCCGTTTTCTCATTCAGGTCAATTATTGTCCAGCAAGTCACTTTGAAAATGGAAAATCGTAAAAGAACTTGGGTCTTGTGCAGCTGACATTTCCACCACCGTAGCGCAAGAATGCAGCTAAGTTTGTTTAGCATGGCTAAGCATTCGCACCTGCATTTGTGTACTTGCGTAAAGTATGTTTCTGGCCTTATGCTGATGAGCAGATCTGAGGAGAAGGTCTGCAGGGTTTCTCAGGCATGTTTATTGTAAGGAGACCTCTCGACAGGTTCCTCTGGAGTACTGAAGTACTCTCAGCATATTGCAGCATTCACTGCGATTACCCTCATTTAACAAACACAGAATACAGAATACTGTAGTTAGTCACCCAGAACGTCTCCAGTCACACTCTATATGGCTGATTAACTCATTTTCCAAGTGTGATAGGACACAGAGCGAATGAATGGAGAAGAATGCACAATTTTTTACTTGTGGTTTGAAATCACCATTTTCTTCCCTCCGCATGCATTTGGCTCTTCAATTTACTCTGCTGATCTCCAGTCTGTTTTAATTTATGTTTTTTTTTTCTTTGTACTTCTTTGGCAAAGCTCTGTGCTTAGGCTGCCAGGAGAACTGTGCTGAATTTAATTGGGAAAAACTGAAAGGCAGGGCAAGCGTGAGATGGGAGGACGGTTTAGAGGAGAGAGAAAGACAACACGCACAAAATCATCACCAAAAGAAAAAGTGCAAGACTGTCTCACCTGAAGGTCTTGGGTAAGTGTAGGCTGCAAGAGAAAAGAAATGAGAAAAAGAGTGACTACAGGGCCTTCTTATGGATCAATTAACACATATCAAACAAAATCATTTGAAAACAGCTCAATGAACTGTTGTAAATTCAATGAAAGTTCAATGATCAGCATTTATTTGTAAAATTATAAATGTCTTTACTGTCACTTTTGAATTTAATGCATCCTTGCCTTGAATAAAAGTATAATCTGCTTTTAAAAAACATTTTGGTGAGCCCAAATTTATGAATGGTAGTGTATACATACATTATATGTAACATTATATACTTCCACTTTTTAAAGAAATAATTTTTATAGGTTGATGTCTTTTGTGCTTCCATTTGTATAAAACACATGCATGCTTTATACCTTGTTAAAATAATAATAATAATAATAATACAATCAAAGTTTCATTTATAGTCACTTAAAAAAATGCAGCACTGTTATCATTCCTCAGCTGGTTTTCAACAGAAATACCCAACAAAAATGAAATGCATAGGGTGGAGTGAGGGGAAAACAATATCAATTTTTGTTGTAACTATGGACTATGTTGTCAAGAGTGATGCAGAAGTATTCACCATGAAGCTTACACTGGTGATGTGCCTGAGAGAAAACGCATTTCACAGTAAGTGATCTAATTTTCAGCAGTAAGAAAAAAAGTGTTTTAAAGCTTGTTGTTTTGTAGAACATCACAGTTATATATGATATGAGAATACTAAGGCCTGTAGAAAGGGAGTGTGTGCTATTTAAAAAAAAATATTATAATATTTTCAGAATTACATCATTTCTTTTCAAACCTAGTCTGTGGGGTAAAACGCCCCCAGGGGGCATAGCATAATTTCTGTAGTTATTGATTATATTCTTTTTAATTTTAAGCTAAAACTGCCTGTACTCAGATTTTGCTGTAAATGTATAAAGCAAATTGCTTTGTCAGACTGGGGGCATTTTACCCCACCTGTGGGGCAAAACGCCACCTTGGTACAAATGTTTAAAATCTAATAACTTGAAAACTCTATAGACATTTTTCATACTTGGTTTATAATTTATGTCATTATTCTGGACACATTTAACTTTTGTTTCACAGAAAAAAAATTACGTTCTCCCCCACTCTACCCTATAATATTTTGTCGCAGTAGTTCTGACATAATTTTGGACTGGTAACTATTTACTGAAGACAAGTAGGACAGGAAGAAGAGGAAGATAGAAGAAATGTCAATGACTCCATTGACACAAGACACGCTCTTCTGACCATATGACTTTTCACCATAAGCATTTTCACTTTCACAGCGAGGACAGAAACTTTACACTGGAAACTGGTTGCGTCAACACCCAGAGTTATACATCTTTAACCTCCACGAATCCACAGAAAGCCCTCGGTGCAATGATTTGCTGAGTGCAAGGTCAGCTGCTATCCAGCCACCCTGCTGTAAGAAGGTTCAGAAGTCTTTCCTCAGGCACAACAGCAGTGCTGACTAAGAACGCTTGGTGAAACAGATCAACTTGTCATTCTCTACTTTGAGCTACTTTGCTTTCCCATGGGACATCTCACGACGCCTCTGAATGCTGCTGGTTTTGAGTCATTTCTGAAGATACTTTAGCGAAACGTTAGCATTTTATGTGTGTTTGTTTGTTTTTTTTGACTGAGCTTTGAGATTTTCCCTTTAAATGTGTCTCTTTACTTGTAAAACAGAGCATTTACTGCGTACTAAAGGAGAACATTCAGTTTTATAAAAACACTCTATGCAAGTCCAAACACTTGTAGCTAATGCAATGCAAACTTTTGCATCAACGCAAGCTTGAGTTTGTTGTATATAAAGCATTACATTCTCATTGTTGACTCAAGGAATGGTATAGCAAGCATTAGTTAGTTAAACTGTCAACATGTTTACAGCTAAATGAACAATAACCCACATAGTTTAACAGCACAAAGATAATAGTGGAGGTATCTCTATCTACTCTACATACTCCATCACAATATTGCAACCCATATGACAGAGAGGGGGAAAAAAATTCCAGACCAAAATTTATTTCAAATGTCTGCTAAATATATGCTGTAAATGGCATGGCTTAAAGAAACATATTAATTAAATACAGTTTGTTAAAATCTTGAATCTGTATTCTGAACAAAATAAATATATTTAAATTGGAAATATATTACATTTAAAACTTCAAATATTAAAATATATTAAAAAATTACAATTTCCTATCTTAAAATGCATATTTTAATAAAATATATATTTGGACAATATAAATACATTTAGATTTCAAAATATATACTAGCAATATATTTGGCCATTTTTGTATATTTTAAATATATTTTCCATATTAAAAAAAATAATTTTTATGTATATTTAAAATGTATTTTTAGCTATATTTAACGATAATATCTCATACTATTAGCTGTATCTTATTAGATGAAATTAATGTGCAGTGAGCTGTTTCAGGTCAGCTCTCACTCCCGGAGGATGTGTGGCAATCACAGGGCCAGCTGTGGCAGTCCAGGCTTTTTCCATATGGAATTATGGGAAACATGGCAGCAGCCCCATGGAATCAGTGCACAATGGAATGAGAAATTATCTTCAGCTCTGCATGGAGAACCGGGCAGCAGGTAAACCCGCCGGCATTCCCTCCAAATACAACACACATGAATAAGTGTGTGTGTGTGTGTGTGTGCGTGTGTGTGTGTGAAGCTTCCTATTCATCCTTTGTTCCCCCTTTTCCAGGCAGGAAGTAGAAGCATATCTGTGATGTTAACCTGGCTAGTGAGGGTCAAACACATTTGTTATCTGTCTAATTAAGTCCCACCATAAACCCCTGTTACTGGGCCATTCACCACGGCAACATGGAGTGTGTGCCGCCACGTCTCCAACACTAAACCCACTTGAGCCTACACAATGCATGCCAAGACTTAACAGCCATATCCAACACACACACACACACACATATGCAAACGTGCATCTTGTAAAAGTCACAGATAAATTGTCTCTGCTTGGCTGCTCTTCTCTGTTAACACAAATTTTCTGTGTATCTCTCCTCATCTAAATCACCACACACACACACAGACTCAGAGAGAGAGAGAGACCAGCGGTGTTTTCTCCAAGGGAAGGGTGGCAGTGCTTAATGAAGAAAAAAGATAAGACAAGAGAATAATTGATTTTACAGAAATTAAGCAAATGAAACATTATGAAATATGACATCAAATATTATATAATGCTAAATATATAATGCAAAATACAGGCAAAAATTCTTATGACAGGAGACAGTGCCTCCAGTGCCTAATTATCCTGTCAGTATTAACAAAACCCTCCTATCATGTTCGCATTGGTCCACAATTATGCAAAAAATAAATAATAATAATAATAAATAAATAAAGTAACTATTTCATCTGATAGCATTTCTTCAGGTTATGTCTGAAAAATTACTGAAAAATGACTAAATTTCAGCTCTCTTTATATGAAATGACTGTGATATTTACTAATAATTTGTTTGTATGAAAAAAAATAAGAAGAACACAATCAAACTAATATGGAAGCCCGTTTCCACCCCTGAATAAAAAATGTAAAAAGGTTATTGCGACTTTTTATCTTACATTTCTGATTTTTTTTCACAGAATTGTGAGATATAAACTTGCAATTGCGAGTTATAAAGTCAGAATTGCGAGATATAAACTCACAATTCTGACTTTTTTTCTCAGAATTGCATGATATAAACTCACAATTGCGAGTTATAAAGTAAGAACTGTGAGATATGAAGTCACAATTGCGAGATAAAAACTCGCAATTCAGACTTTTTTTCTCGCAATTGTGAATTATAATGTCAGAATGACTTTATTTCTCAGAATTGCGACTTTATATCTCACAATTATGACTTTTTAACCTGCAATTGCGAGTTTATATCACACAATTCTGAGAAAAAAAAGTCAAGAATTTGCTAGTTTGTATCACGCAATTATGAGAAAAAAAGTCTGAATTGTGAGATAAAAAGTCTCAATTACCTTTTTTATTTTTTATTCAGTGGCGGAAACGGGCTTCCATAAACTAAAGCTTAAATATTTCGTCCACATAAAAAAAAAAAAATATAACTATATGACCATCCACTTCAATGCACAGTAATGTTCTGTTTATTAAAAGCGCACTGCAGTTTTGTCGTCTGCTGCTTTAAATGCTCAAGTTCTTTAAAGCAGTTTGGATTCTGATTGGCTGTCAGTGTTTTTATCATTCATCAGCTGGAACAAAAAAGTGTTTCAAATGATATCATTCCACTGTGTCATTATCTGTATAAATATGGTGTGGATTCTGTTATTGCTTTACATTTAGAACATTTTTTTTAAACTATATCTTTGTCATTATTGTTATCGTCCTTGGTGTAAACGGGCCATAATGTATTGGACGTTGTATATGAACACTAGACCTAAAGAATGCTATCAATGAGTGAGATTACTTTTTTTTTTTTGCAATGTAAAATTGAGCATTTTAAATAGTGTGGACAAATAGAATGTTATTATAATATTTCACTATATTAATGAGGACATTTGGCTGTCACATGTATAACCAAACTTGTACACACACACACACACACGTTTTCTACCTCCCACAATCTATCACTTCCAAATGTCTTTTTATTTTTCATTCAGTTATTTGTTCTTTTCTGCTCATTTCCACACACCTGGTAATGCATCAGTCATCGGTACATATACTTCATGTCCTCTTCATCAGCCACATATCCATTAGAAGAGACCTGGGGCTACACTAACTTTTTTATTTTATTTATTTATTTTACATTTTCTGTCATAACTCACAGACTACTACAAATCAACCAGCGTTTTTAATTTATTTTATTATAAAATATTTTTTTTAATTATTTTTATTTATTTATTTTTATATAAGAAACACATATATGTGCCAACAACAACAGCATTGTTGTATTGAGAAAGACCTGATCACAACAAGCTGTAGTTGCACCGCATGTCATGGAGTGAATTGTCAGACATAATTTGGTTTGTCACATGTTGACCTGCAGCAGGGAATGTTGGGTAAATTTAAACACATCCTCACATCTCTCATTCTCTCCTGTTAGCGCTCCCTCTTAAGATGCCATGGGTGATAGATAAATCTATCTGAAGAGCAAACACTGATATTTGGAATGCATATTATATTATTTGAATAGATGTTTAACCTTTATGAAGGGAACTAGTTCTCTAGCCACATAAAAACACAGTGCATCATTCATTGGTCGAATACATCAACTGAATCAATTAAGAGAAATAAAGTCTTGATATGAACTATTCTGGCTATAATTATAAAATCAGGTTAATATTATATTGAATATAGAATTACTCAGAATTAGTTTAAATAAATTCAGTGAATTAATTAAAATTCACATACACTCAATTCTGAATATGCAATAAAAATTTTAACTGCAATAACAAAACACTTAAACATAATAATATCACAAGGTTTGCCTCATCTCTTTGCAACAAATTTGCTACAAACTTTCTGCCATTGAGCTTGCTCGCATGTGAAATTAAGAACTTACAAATTTGTATCCAGTTCAGGTTGCAGGAGTACCTCAAGTCAGCAAATTATATCACCATTACAGAAAAC